TGAAAGAAGGAATAATTTCAGTGGAGTTGTTGTTGTTTTAAAACTATTTATTTTGCCGTTGTATATTTTTAGAACTACGACAACTGAGGATTTGAAGAAAGTACAGAACCATTCATTTGGTCTCGGGTCAATAAGCTGATCTTTACTATGTTTAATACGATAAACACAAGGCAGCGCAAATGCTTCTACAATCCCTGAATAAAATTAAAAAAGAAAATGATGAATTGGTCACATCTAAAAAAGTTTCCTTCTAGAGAGAATATTTATTGCACGTCATAAATGTAAGCCGTATATAATGCTTGACAAAATTGTAATGCTCTTGGTCGTCATTTCTGTAGATTTCACACCATGATCAAAATATGGTTAGAGTGAAAAAAAAAAAAACACACTTTTTTGCCAGTTTAGTTTATTCACGTGGAATACTGTCGGTGCCATACACCGAAGGGGGAAAAAAAAAAAAAGAAAAAAACACACTTATCAGCTCAACCTGAGCAGGCCTTAAAGGGTAATATGGGCTGAACTCTATCTTCAGTGCCCTTTGGAGGATGGCTAAGGCCTTGACCAACCAGGTGTCACTTCTGTGAGAACACTCTTGAGATCACCATAGCGATGACTGATGGCTGTTCTGGCTCCACCCTGCCGGCTAGCCATTTACGGTGATGGATGTTGGAATGAGAGGAGCGCAGGGTCTTTTGGATTTCATTTGCTCGCCGCTGTTCACTTGCCATTATTGATTTAGAGGTGTACTGGTAATAGGTAGTGGGACACCGCGTGTGTGCGTGTGTGTGTGTGTGTGTGTGTGTGTGTGTGTGTGTGTGTGTGTGTGTGTGTGTGTGTGTGTGTGCGCGTGTGTGTGTGTGTGTGCGCGCTCTAAAAAGAAAGTGATGCATTGATAACCACTATCCCTAAATGTCATATCATCCTCACATTTAAAACATCAGACATAACCATTATACTGCCATTACGAATGTTTGCTTCGTAGCGTCTTTATTTTTGTATTTCTTATTTGCCGGGTTTTGCTGATGTGGATCAAAATCAGACAGTCAAAGCCCAACAAGGGGCCAGCTTGAGTGCGAGCCCTGCTCTGCAATTACAGTATTCTATGGTGTCCAAAAATGTCTTTTGATGCTAGGAAATAATTCAGTTTAAAAAAAATAAATAAAAAAGGAAAAACAGAAGTCTGGCAAAAACAGAAGGATCTATTTTCGTGAACAGCAAAAATTCAGCGGGCATGTGGAACATTTCTGCATGAAGATTTGTTCGACACGATGATGGTAGTTTGACAGAGCATGCGCCATGGATATGCAAGAGAGAGGGCTGCACCGCGGTGGGTGTGGTTACAGCCGACTTCAAGCTTGACCAATTAGTGTTTCATTTCATTCCTTTTAAATGCAGCTGTAGTGCGTTCAACTCTGTTGGAATAAGTCTAGAGCTCGAGCTAATGCTTATTTTAAGGTCGATAATTTTTTTATTAATCGATTAATCTGATTTAAAAAAAAAACGTATTTCCATTCATTTATTTAAAAAGAGCACATAACAAATTATCAGGCCTCAGCAATGCATGAACATCCCAGCGCTCCTTGTCAGAGATTTTCTCGGACAAAGTTAAAGAAATGACTCGGCACACAGGAAAATTGTCTTCAATATCGGCGGGAGGGGGATCTCTGAGAGCGAACGACGGTAGTTGCTCCGATGATCACACTCTCGAGCTCCCTTCCCGCCAATTCCGACTTTTATTGTAACATACAAGGAAAACACTGCCCCCGACATTTGCATACCGCACCCCCGGTCCGGCCCCTCGGTAGTGATTGGTTACCTGAGTTTAAGCTTTGAACCACCAGTACATTGGCGCCTTTCTGTCTGGTCCACACTGTATCAACATGTTGCAGACTTCGCGGACGACAAATGTCGCCTGGGCGCGACGGGTGTTCTCAACTCGTCTTTTGTTGTTCAACCGCTGTTCCCAAATTATTCATTCCCCTTTTGTGACCGAGTTTCGCCCCCTCCCCTGTGATTGCCCACCTGCATTGACGTGCTAATTGTGGACTTCAACAGCCCTCCGGCCAGGTGGCCGGCGCCTTTGTGCACAGGCATTTGGAAGTGCTGGATACGCGCCCAAACGTTTAGATGTGTCCAAATTAAATGAAACTTTAAACATGATACAATTTTGCTCATAAATTCCTCTAACACTCCTACAGTGATACATTTTCAACAAATGATTTCAATCTATCTCGTCTATCTGTGATGCGCATTACAAAGAAGTATGGTGGATCCTCTTTTTTACATAGTAATGGATTTAATCAATACCACCTATCATGTATATAAGGTCACAGGGAAACGAGAGTCTGTCCCTGCTGACGTTGGGTGAGAGATGCGCATACCTACAGCAGATCATCAATCTACCACATCAAACTATTCACGCATGAATGCCACCAGGGAATTGTGACCCCGTGACAAAAATTTACTGTGAGCCCCTCCACTCCAATGCTACAAATCGAATATACTGTTTCCTCAGGGCCCTCTCAGTCATGGGCCCTTATGATCGTTATCATTGAATTTATTTAGTTTGAAAGGCTTGTTGGGATCCTCACCTGTATTGCAAAATGTTTTGTTCAGTCTTACGTTTCTTTTGAGCCTGAGTAACATGAAGTACAGCCCAATGGGATGCCTGCAGTGATTATGATGCTCCAAAACTAATGAAAATGAGAGCCAAATATCACAGTGAACTTGAAAGTCCAGTCTGGAGTTTGCCTGCAAGCTCTCACACACACACACACACACACACACACACACACACACACACACACACACACACACACACACACACACACACACACACACACACACACACTTAATTCTTATTGTTTTGCTCATAAACTCACAGAGCTGCCATCAAGTTCCCCAATGATTGCACGCTCTTCATTCATCTCCCTACACCTATTACTGTACCTACCGTGTGGGTGTGTGTTTCCATAGGTGCACGTTCTAAAAGTGAACGTTTTTCTGCCATCACAGAGGGAGACTGGCGCTGAATAAAAATATCTCAATCGCAGTGACAGTCACAACACACACACACACACACGCACACACACACACGCACACACACTCATCGGTGGTACATGTGTATAGCACAGAAAAAGACCAAGTGAAGAAATCTTTCAGTCCACGCCTGAGTTATGGGAAAAGAGGGATGAGAAAGATGAGGGAAACTGATGGAGAGAAAATATATATCGCAAGGTAATTAGATTTTTCTAATCCAAACATGGTGAGGTATCTTTAATCTACAGTCATTCTGCTCTTTTGAAGCCAAAGACAAGACAAGACAATTACTGGTAATAACAGTAAGCCTCAGTTTGGAATGCATTTAAAAATCCAAGGTCAGATATACGTTTGCAAGGTCATAATTTCGTGTAAATACGGGGGGGGGGGGGTTCATGTTGTGTATATGAGGTGAAATTCACATACAGAAACCATCGTTATGCCTATCCTGGCAATTTCAGCCAGCAATGTACACTTTAATGCTGTAATGAGGAATATGAAAGTATGGAAAACAGGTTCTGAGCTATTTTATACATGCTCATCAATGAACATCAATGTATACTGGGCTGTATATTAACATGAATTTATGTTCTGACATACCTAGGAGGTCACGCTTTTTACTAGAACATTTATGTGAAGTACTTGCCGGATGAAAAGAGGTTAAAGAGGGCTAAAACCCATGTAGTCTAACAAATTTCTTTTTTATTAAAGACAGCTGTCTAATATTAAGAATGACTTGAGTTTTATAAGATACTAGATGATATCCTCAATCCCCCTCTGACCTAGTCGTGATGCGCTATAATAAACTATTCTAAGGGAGAGTCGCTAAGGGCTCTGTCTGACATTGCTACATTGCTTTTTAGTTTGGGGGGGAAGGGGTTCACTGGCTTGCTCTGTTGTCCTTCAGCAACTGCTGGAGAACACAATTTTTATTTCCTCACTTAGCACAGCTGTTATTATCATGCCAAAGATTTGAAAATATTTGACCAAGTGAAAACGTATACATTATTGTGTAGGTCAGCGACAGGATCAACTGCTTAATATGTTGTATCATGTGCTCCTTTATCTGTTTCCAATTACATAATTGGAGGGACTCAGCAAAGCAAAAAGACAGATGAAAAATATTCTCCAAATTCTAGCGATACGTGTGATGGATGAGCTCCATGTCATATATTTTGTGTATTTACATGCATTGTGTGTATTTAAAGCTTTCAGCTGTCTGTTCATAATATGAGTTTTATTGGCCCAATTTCAAATTGGATTGTTTCCGAGTACTGACTCAAGTACCTTAAGTTGACAGCTCTGCTCTGGGCTACTTAATGTAAAAGAACAGTTAAACTATAAACAGCCCATAGGTTGGAATTAATCATACATACAGTGTAACATGGTCACCCAGTTTGTGCATGGGCAATTTTTGGCAGCTCCAGAGAAAGTCAGTTAAAATAACTTATTGTTGGATGATTGATGAAGGGAATATTAGTGAACCTAATAATGGATATCCTTGGCATTGAAGGGAACCCTTGCATCTCCAAAACCATTACTTTTCAGGAACCACTCGTCCCCATGTCCCCCAAAAAATGATGTTTGTAGTGCTGCGAATGTTATATTGTCAAAGACAGCAAGCCATTTTCGGCTGGTGAGTAATTGGTTTAAAAAAAAAAAAAAAAAAAAAAAAACGCAAGAGCACCGACAAATAGTATCCATTTGTGGAAAAATATTAAATCAATCAAATTTTGACATAAGAGGTTTCCGGCTGACAATGACAATATACAAAGGCAAATATTACCCAACGGTCTGAATTTTTTTTTTTTCACCTATCAGAGACATTTCTTCGGCTCATCGGAACACTTGTGTCAACATTTTAACCCCACATGAGATTAGGATGATGTGTATTTAAATTGATGTTATTTAAATTGTTGTTTTCTTCTCTTCTACCCAAAACTCTTATTTTCCCTCCATAGTGGGATGCCATCACAGAGATGGATGAGCACAATCGGCCCATTCATACCTTTCAGGTGTGCAACGTGATGGAGCCCAACCAGAACAACTGGCTTCGATCCAACTGGATTTCTCGACAAGCAGCCCAAAAAATCTATGTGGAGCTTCGCTTCACCTTACGCGACTGCAACTCCATCCCTTGGGTTTCTGGCACGTGCAAGGAGACCTTCAACCTCTTTTATTATGAGACTGATGAGGCACATGGCGTAAAATTCAAACCTGCTCAATACACTAAGATCGACACCATTGCCGCAGATGAGAGCTTCACTCAGATGGATCTCGGAGACCGCATTCTGAAGCTCAACACTGAGGTGCGCGAGGTGGGACCCATGACCAAGAATGGCTTTTATCTTGCATTCCAGGACATTGGGGCCTGCATCGCTTTGGTCTCAGTGAGAGTCTACTACAAGAAATGCCCTTTCACATTGAGAAACCTGGCCTCGTTTCCAGACACGGTGCCTCGTGTGGACTCATCCTCATTGGTGGAGGTGAGGGGGGCATGCATTGACCATGCTGAAGAAAGGGACACACCCAAGCTCTTCTGTGGAGCTGATGGGGACTGGTTAGTCCCCCTTGGAAGATGCGTCTGCAGCGTCGGGTATGAGGAGATCGCCGGCTCCTGCATTGGTAAGTTTACTCTTATTCCCCATGACTTTCAGATAACGTCAAGAAAACCCACTACGACTTCCTACCCATGACGTATTTATAAGTCTTTACGGTTGTTTTGAGCCGTAGAGTACAGAAGGGTCTGACGCAGCCTCTGCCTCAGGATCAGGTGTAAGGGATCAGCCAGGAGCATGCTGCAGATAGAAGTAGAGGGGGAGGGATTCATGGGCGGAGTTGTGGAGTCGCGTAGAGTTGGGCGGAGTAGTGTGTACTTAGTAGCGATTTGAACTAATAGCGATGGGGAAATTAAAACAATTAAGGTTGTGAAGGGGAAGGGGAAGAAAATTTTCCACCATGATGAGGGAGATGGATTTGCTGAAAGCAGTAGCATGCTAAAGTAAGAAGCAGCCATTAAAGAGGCAGAAAAAAATATGCATTAATTGCAGGGTGACGGGGACGCACACATGCACGAGCACAAAATTGCAGAGTGGAGGGAATACACGTTTTTCCTGAGAAAATGGATATTTGATGAAATTTAGCTATTGCCTAATGCCGATTGCTCAAGAACGGATAAAAACAACTCACAATATTCATATTTTGTTGTGGGCTTGACTCCAGCACACCTGCGAACCTAATAAAACCTAGCAGTTATCGGGAATGGATGAATGAATGTGATCAATATCATATCATAATCTTTTTACACTTAATATATTCAATGAGACATCAGCAATTTTGAAAAATAGATGAATAGTGTGGATCAATGACCTAACCAGATGGCTATATCCACCCAACCTGTTCATACGATATTTAAAACAAATCTATCTACTTCAATGGATATGTGTGATTTTTTTTTTTAATCTAGTTAAACAATTGTTCTTTACCTCCAGAGTTTTTGTTTGTTTTTGTTTCACAACGTGCTGCCTTCTGCTGCTTCTGAACTGCCTTCCTTCATTTTTTTGCCTCCATCTTATTACTTGCTGCTTAGCTTGTCGAGGTTGACATGACAGCTAATGTCATTTGGGACCTGTGCAGGGTTGATAGTACACCCTAAAGATCTTTTCTGGTATCGACAGATAGATATAGATCAGCGGTCGGCAACCTTTGACACCGAAAGAGCCATTTGAACCCGGTTTCCACGGAAAAGAAAACACTGGGAGCCGCACATCTAAAATGAAAAAAAAAAACTTCTACTACTTTACCACAGCATGTTTCTTATGAAATCCACGTGCTACAGAGAAAATTACATTTTATTCATTTAATGAACACATTTTGAACATTTTGAATTCTTGAAAAATAATAACAATGAATGTCTCTTTCAAATAAATTAAAAAGCTGAATTTAAATTGTCCATGTAGCAAACGAAAGCAGAAAAATGCCATGAGGCGTCATCCTTATATCCATTTATCTTATCTAAAATGAAGATAACACTGTATATATTGCTTTTTCTTACCTTTACACTTTGTATAAACAACTATAGTGTGGTTATGTCTTATGAAGTGCTACGGAGAAAATTAAATTTTACCGATGTAATGAACACATTTTCCTGAGCGGCCACAAAGCTTGCATATGTAGTTGAATTTGCAGACTTCACCCACTTCTTGAATTGATTTTTCGTCCGGTCAGCCTTCTGCATCAGTTCCGAAACAGCTTTTTTCCTCTCTTCTCCCTCTGGATATTTTTCAGCAAAGGCTCTGTGTGTATTGTTAAAATGTCTTGCAACATTTGACCCTTTATTGTTAGCCAGTTTTCTCCACAAATTAGGCATACTGGTAGGCCACTCTCGCCCGAGGTAAATGCAAATGAATCTGCCCAGGCATCATTGAATGTTCTATTTTCTTGAGATATTTTTCTTTTCTTACATTTCTCCATTGGCTTTGCCGGGGTTGAAAGTCGCTCAAAATAGACGCCGTTTCAGCGGGTATACCAGCTTCCGCAGTGTGACGTCTATTTTGAGCGACGAAAAAATAATATCAAATAATTTAATTAATATTTTAATATTTCAAGATCACAATAATCTTCAAATTTAGAACTAAAATAATATAAAAACTAACACAAATAAAACACACTTCAATTAAATACAAAAAAAACATTTTTAGTAATTTATTTTCCCAAGCCAATCAGAGCCGCATTATAAGGATGAAAGAGCCGCATGAGGCTCCGGAGCCGCGGGATGCCGACTGATGATATAGATCAATCGATCGATCTAATCTACTTGTCCGTCCGATGACTCTCTACTTGGATTTTAAGGATTGTCTGTGATGTGGCTTGTGGATTTGAAATGTTTGTTTTCTCTTGAGTTGAATGGTCTTCTGTGTGTGGGTGTGATCGGGCATCTGTACTGTGCACGCCGCCTGTCACTGCAGCTAAGTTATCCACACTGACTTGGTAGCAGTTTGAACCGCAGCTGTCTAATATGGTTTTTAGATTATCCCTGGCACAATGCAGCGGCACAAGAGAGACACATTCATCAAAGTCTACTGAGTTTTTTTGTTTTTTTTGTTAAAGTTGGCAACATCCATTTTATGACCTCGCATTTGTTGCGGTGTAGTTGCAGATCATGACAAATAAACCTTGGATAAGAACCACAATTCTACATCCTGGTCTGGATCACGATCGAATAAATAACACATTTGTTTTGGGATTATACCGAAGCACCTCATTTCTTCTTACCCTGTCTTGTATTGCACAGTCCATTGCTCACATTGTGATAAGTGTATGCCATCATTGAGTATCAAATTTGCTGGTGCAGATGCAAAACAAATTAGAAGGCAATGCCACTATACGGATATGCTTTGTGCTCATTTGTACAATGTGTTTTACCCAATGTGCTTCTACAGTTTTCTGTGATTGATCATGTAGCACCGGTTGCAGTTTTCACAACGCAACATTGCAGTCACCACATTGTGGGTTAAAAGCACCTCTAGTGTGTTGTTGATGGTACAGATGATCATGTAATGTAGTGTATCTCCACCATCTGCTTTCTATAATATATGTGTACAATGCAGATAGGTCAATTGCTGTACCCTGCACTATGTCTTCTATCCATCTCCTGTCAGTCAATGAGCAACGCATTTTGGAAGCTTACGTTAGCTGATGGTGTTTTTCCACAAGCTCAGCAACTGAATTGAAAGCCATGTTCATTGCTACCTTTTTAAGAAGGGCTGACAGGACTCGAGCAGGAAGACAAGTGTCAATATTTCAAAGATGTGTTTAAAACGACTACTTGTTGTCTGCCTGAGACGCTAAAGTACAGCTGTGTCAGTTCAAATTGAACTGATATAAATCTATATGTTGAAGTGTGCAATAATAACATATTTTCTGTTTGTGAACAAGCAAACATTCACTATATTGTAGTTATGATATTTCCAAATGTACATAGATCACTGTATCATTGCTCTTGAATCACTGTTTTGTAAAAATGTCTTCCCTTTTGATGTACGATAATGCCATTTAGGAATTGCTCTGCTGCAAAGGAGCAAGAATAATGGTTCAAAACGACTGATAATTGTTTCCTTTTTAAAGGTTTACCCGTTATCATTTAATCTCCACTCATCTAATCGCGGTTACAATTAAGAATGCGAATGTCAGATGGACACACATGCTACGGGGAGAGCATTTCATCTACTGTGATGCATTTTATGATGACACATTACTGCCCCCCATTTGGCCTTCATACATTGATTTCAACTTAGCACTGTGTAGAGTGCTGAATGCGTTCATATTCTCACTGTTTGATATTGCCACGCTAAGACTGGCCGTGAGGTCCTTTCTAAAGACCTCACAGCAAGTTTTCTGTGGTGTGAAAAAAATGACGGCAACACTAATCGTTGACTCATTCAATCATGCTCTCGGAGTACAGTGCAAAAAGTCTCAGGCCACCACTGGCTTTGTAGTTTTTAATGGCATTTTTAAAGCAAGCATTTTTACTTATATTTACAGTTGTTCAAATATATATCTAGCAAGCTCCTGTAGTCTGTACTGTATTTTGATCAATAAGCCTCATCTCTGATAACAAGACTGTTCATGAATATGTCATAATGTACAGTGCCAGTTAAAGGTTTGGACACACATTCTCAATTAGTAAGATGAGAAAGTGTCCCAAACACTTGACCGATATCGTAAATGCCAAAGAGATTTGGAAAACAGCCCCGATTTACAACATGTAGACAGTCAGGTCACACATCCGTCAATATGTCAAACCTCCTGATGAGAAGTGCCTCCCTCTCTCTCACACACACACACACACACACACACACACACACGCACAGATACACAGATCCTCTCAGTAGAGTGACACAAAGGTTCATCATCTCATCCATATAGATGTCAAAGCAACCTTCAGCAAAATGAACAGCAACATAAAAGAGTCCAAAATAATAAAACATAAAACTTATTTTTATAAGATATTGGAAAAAAAAGAAAACAAGAACTGCCTTTCTGGAAAACAGACAAAGTGGGGGAGGGTGTTTACTTACAGGTCACACTGCAGGGACACTCACACCGTGACATTTTCCAAAGGAACATCTCAGTTTAACAACCGTGGCTCTTCAGACTTGATTAGAAAGAAAGAAAGAGGAGGTGATGATTGTATATGATCAGGGAGCAGAAAAAACACCCTCTTCATACCGCATATAAACACACTCACGGTTTTCCAGTGACGTTCTTTATCCTGACACTTTGATTTCCTCTCAAATTTTCTCCGCCTGTCCATTCATAGCATTCCAAATATTATTAAATGAGAATATTTGTCATCACACATGGGTACATTTGTAAATTACCAGTCATTTAGGGGAGCTTTAGAAATTACCCTCCTACTTTCATGAATGCAAATCATGCAGTATGACAGAATTTGAATGCAAGGCTTTTTGTTTGTTGTCTCTGCAGTGACTGCATTAGCATTTGCTTCTGCGGCGATGACAAAGAATGTAATTGAGTGCTCTTTGATTGTGTGTATAGTATTTCCCCTGACTTGTCATTCAGCTCAGTGTACCAACTCGGGTACTCTGATGCGGCTTCTGTAA